CAGAGCGCTCAGAATAACATCTACTATGGATTCTCCGCTTCTGCCATCCTGACAATCCTCTGATATATTTTTGTCGGAACCAAAATCTTGGTGGAGGGAAATCCCTGAACAACATCCTGACTTCTTAAGGTGGGATGCTTATCTCCTTAGGCTACATCAGACTGTAGTTGTTGCTTACTTCAAGCCTAGTGTTAAATTTTCACAGTGGCCACACCGTGGAACATAGACCTCTACAAACCACAAACCATGACTTTCAATAATTTTTCAGTTGTAATTTGATGGAGTTAAGAAATATAGAAGAATATATACCATTAATCTGCACCGTGCCCTGCTGCTCCAGTGTCCCGGACCTCAGTCCTTCCTATGTAGGAAGATGATAGCCTGCAATAGAACTTTAAGGCCACTCTCATTCCATACCTATTTTCTAGATGAACAAACTGATGCAGAGAAGGGGAGTATTTTGTCTAAATAGCTAGAGGATCAATGACAGAATCAGTTTATAAGCCTCGTGGTAGTGGCCATCAGTATACAAATGATAGATTTTGTGGTCTTTTGTCATCATCAAACTAAATTCTTTCAAAACAAATGGAGATGACTCATTCATATTTGTTTTAATAGTGAAAAAGATGCCATTCTTTATTTGAAAAAAAAAAAAAGATTCTCCCTCTTGTTCCCAAGAACAGGAAAGAAAAAAAATGTCAATTTTTTCTTTTTTTTTCTTGGAGAATACTGGTCAAATTCTCTTTGGAGGATCCTATAGCTCTACCCTATCATCATCATACAATTAATAACTTTTGCCTTTCCTGTGGGAAACAAGCATGTATAGCAAAGTCTGCCTGTTGATTATAGTACTGAAATTAAGACGAACTAAGCTCTGTCTGTAACTTTTCCAGAAGACAGTGTTTGAAAATTGCAACTTATACTCACAATGCTTGCAGACACCCTGTATTTCAATTGTTGGAAATATGTACCACCAAGGAGCAGAGAGAAACCTGCCCCCTGATATCGCACCACGTGAGACATGGACTTGTTGTTATATCTCTTATCTGACCATTATTTCTGCCTTGAAAGCAGTAATGAAATAGACAAGAAGAGGCCTCTCCCTGAAGCAGCAGCCCCCCCTGGGAAGACCCTTTATACTCATTCTCCCAGAGGGTCAGCAATCCAGGTTTGCCCAAGTAAAAGGCAAGTATCACTGTGGATGAGACCTGAATGCTGCTTAATTATTTGCAATAGATACAATGTAGTTATTTTTAAAGTAGACATTTAAACATTAACCTATCCTTATTCTTAGTTTCTTTTTTCCTCCTCATTCCAAAGAACCAAAACTAGGCCTAGTCCGGGGAAGGTAGTCATACACCCCTGATTTCTATTGGCTGTTCTATTTAAAGTAAGGCAGCTATTATGGGGAGAATTTTATCTGCCTCCCCCCGCCTCGCTAAACCCTCAGAATGTAACCATATTTAGGGATAGAGTCTTTAAAGAGGTAATTAAATTAAAATGAGGTCCTTGGAAAGTGGTTAGGTCCTACCCCAATATGACTAGTGTCCTTTTAAGAAGAGGAAATTTGGACATAGGCAAGTACAGAGGGAACACATGTGAAGATAGAGGGGGAAAGATGGCCGTCTACAAGCTAAGGAGAGAGGCCTAGAACCCAACTTTCTCTCACAGCCCTCAGAAGTAAACAGCCCTGCTGGCACCTTGATCTCAGACTTCTAGACTCCAGAACAGTGAGAAAACAAATTTCTGTTTTTTCAGCCACTCAGACTGAGGTACCTTATTATGACAGCTTTAGCAAACTAATAAAGCAGCCAATATGTTACGATAATGTTACAATCCCAATCCTCTGTCTCTTTAGCTGTAGACCAAAGATACCACTAGCACTTACCTCATTAGATTGGAAAAATAAATTAGATAATGCACGATATCCAAAGATAGTACACACTTAATAAATGACAGCCAATAACTACTGGGATTTTTTCCCCATATGCCAAAAGCAAGATGTAAGTGCCATATCGTTTACTGCTTAAGGGCAGATCCTTGAGTGAAGAGCCATGACGTAAACTCTGACATTCAATAATCCCTCAATGACAAAATATTAGAGCAAACGAAATGAAGAACTTCCAGATGTACTGGAGATAAGCAAGAGAAATACATGAACGGGAATAAAATGCTGAAAATAGCAAAACCAAATAGAGCACCAAAGGAAGGTCATTCTGATAATCTGAATTAATAAAGAACCTACTCTAAAGCAGCCTAAACAGGTGGAAGGAACATAGGCCCTGGAAAACCTTTTGTGACTGAAGTTCTGCCCAATGCTTGTTAGCTGGTTATCTTGGATACTACTTCAGTGAGCCTGTGTGTATGATCAGGCCACACAAGATGGCTGTTCTCTTGCTCTCTGTACATCCCCTGATCGAACAGTCCCTGCTTCACCTCACCCTACTCACAGGACTGACCTTTCCTCTTAATCATAGAGCTTATCCGTATCTGCTTAAGTGCTTGCCCCTGCTCCAACCAGAAATTTTTCTGATTCTTAGAACAGAACGGCTCCAGCATGCTGGGTTATTAAAGGGAAATATCTGCCCCCTTGATGGCTGTTAACCAAAGGGACGGTGAGGGATGTCCTCCTCTGCTGGTTTCCCCGGTTAATGATGAGCCCACCTGACATCAGTTCCCCCTATAATTGGTACACTGGTACACCCCCCACCCAACCCCCACCATGAAGACTGCTGCCATGTCCTGTCTGCTGTTGGTACGGAGTGGGGAGTCACTCTAGAACTTTGCTTCAGACGTGTAAGATCCCCTGTTCAATAAACCATTGATGTCTCTGTTGCTGTCTCCAGGCATTTTTTTTGGTCTCAAGGCTGGGCAATTACAGGACTTGCAGGCCTACAGCGTGCAGCCTAACACTGTGATTCTTCTGATTACCTGTAAAATGGAGATAATAATAAGGCCCCAGTTTTCTTAGAAGGATTTTATGAGATGATGTACCCTGCTTCCAAGTGTGTTCTTGGGACCCAGGTGAGGTGCACAAATAAAAGTTACTATGAAAAAGACATTACATAGATTTTTTTTCTTTCAACAAAATAATGATTAAATAATATGAGAAACAAAAATAAGTATAACTTAATAAATGTTCCACCACAAAGTGAGCTTCCCTGGGTCATATAACTTTATATTTCCTGAGTTAGACATATAATAGTGGCTCAATTAAATAGTACATTAATTAACCAGTATTTTCTCAGATCTGTACTAAGTATTACTGGGGGCATGGAAAATTATCATAAGTAGTATGTGGACTTTGGTGTTTAAAATGTTGAAACAGAGAGTGAAAATATCATTCGCTTTTCTTCTCTCTCTAAATCTTTCTGATTAAGTAACTGGGAAAGCATTAATTTGGTGCTAGCAGATCTTTAAGGCCTTGCAAACACTTGTTAATCCTTGCCCCCTTCCCCAGTCTTTCAACTTTATAACAAAGAACAAGTTTCAGACTCAAAGTAGTAGACAGCAAATAGCATATAACTGAAATTGAATAATATATACATATATTTACATATTTACATATTGTTTTATAGTTGTATTCTGTTCATGGTCAGAGGCAGGAATTTTCCACTATGGTTGTCTTTTAAAATACATTGATTTCATTTTTTTTTTTTTTTCTTTTTAGGCTGAGCAGCCCTGCTTGCAGGATCTTAGTTCCCCGACCTGGGATCAAACCTGGGCCCACAGCAGTGAAAGTGCAGAGTCCTAACCACTGGACTGCCAGGGAATTCCCCTAAAGAATATATATATTTTTAAATATTAAGTAAACAATAGTATAGATTGCACCCTGATACAGAAAAAATCATAAAAGTGGAACTCAAATAACTAACTGAAGTTTGAACAATACTGAATAAAATAAGCAATGTCATAAACCAGTAAATGGCAAAATGGCACTATTATATTTTATACTTCTATATAAATTATAGATCTATATATGTTATATAAATATATAAATTATATATTATAGCATTAATATAACACTACTTATATATAATTGTATATATAAAATGTAATATAATTAATATTTATTATTATTACATCAAACTGTATTTAATATTAACTGCTGTAGGAATTTGGAGGGAGTAATATTATTCTAGAATGTGGCAATCTGGGAAAGTTTCTTGGAAGAGGTATAACAAGATTTGATCTTGAAAGAAAGGATCGTTAAGGTTTCAGTTGGTATATTATCAACTAAATGTGTTGAGTAACACATTGTTCCAAAATTGAACAGCTTAAAACAGCAAACATTTATTACCTCATAGATTTTCTTAGGATCAGGAACCTGGGAGCAGCTTAGGTGGTAGTCCGATTCAAGATCTCTCACAAAGCTGCAGTCAGGTCATCTAAACTTTAGATTCTAAAGACTTGACTGGGACTGGAGCTTCTAAAGTCCAAGAAAAAGCTTGTTTATAATGCTGTTGGCTGGAGGCCTCAGTACGTCACCATGTGGATATCTCTATAAGGTTACTCATGACAAGGGCTGGCTTCCTTCCTCTGGAACAAGTGATCCAAGAGAGTGGGAGTTATCAAGATGGAAGTCTCTTATTGAATCTTGAAAGTGACATACCATTACCTCTGTCATATCCTGTTGACCATAATGCTGGAGCAATGTGGGAAGGGCACCAGTACTAGAAGGTAGGGGTCACTGGGTGCCATCTTAGGGGCTACTTCCCAGAGTGGGCACAGAAGAGTGTGCCTCTCAATCCTCACAGCCATCAGCATTAGCTGGGGAATTTCAAATACCCGAGATGTCCAGGCCCCTCCTCTGATAAATTGAATCAGAATCTCTAGGGGCAAAGCTCTGCAGTAATATATTTTTTCAAAGTTCTACCAGCAAGTTTGATGCATGATTGAAATTGGGAACCACTGGACACAAGAGGAGTGAGAAACTAGGAACGTAAAAGTGAGAGTGGCCCTTTGATTATTACCTAGTTACATGGATAATGTACCATGAGAAGAAATATGCGAGATTTCGCTCTCGTGGCTTGAGACAAGGGTGGAAATAAGGCCAGAAAAAACAAAAGAAGTTGGAGAAAGGTTAAGATTCAGGAGTGGACACATGTATTAAATGGTGGGTATGGGTTTGATGTTTGAAAGAACATTATTTGTCAGTGGCTCTTGTTTGTGTGGTCCCTGGTGACCCCCAACTGGAAACAGATTCAAAATCAGTGATTCTTCCACAGGAATTTGCTCAGTTCAGGAGGCTTTGGAGAAGAGGACTATTCTGGAACAAAAAGTAACTGTTGGGAGTAAAAGGCCTGGAGTTCCTATATCTGTAAGGAAGGGTCTGGTACTTCTCTGGGGTCCCTGATGCCCTGACTTGGCCTGGTAGTCCTTCTCTCTGACCTCTCTGAGAGTTTTCAGCAAAGAAGTAAAATGACACTTCCACACAGAGCACCATGCCCGTTGTCCTTTTGAAGTCCAGGATCAGGGGTCAAGATGAGTCACAGCTGGGCTTCCCTGGTGGCGCAGTGGTTGAAAGTCCGCCTGCCGATGCAGGGGACGCGGGTCCGTGCCCCGGTCTGGGAAGATCCCACATGCCGCGGAGCGGCTGGGCCCGTGAGCCATGGCCGCTGAGCCTGTGCGTCCGGAGCCTGTGCTCCGCAACGGGAGAGGCCACAACAGTGAGAGGCCCGCGTACCGCAAAAAAAAAAAAAAAAAAAAAAAAAAAAGAGTCACAGCTGATCACCCAAAACCTACAGCTTTCTGCAGCTACTAAGAATTTGAAACATATAAGAATGAAACCAAAGCCATTATACTGTCATATAAGGTCCTACACATTCTGGAAGGCCCCATTCCCAGCACCGTTTCCCACCTCCAGCTATTTTGCTACTTCAGTCCCAGTCACATTGGCCACCTGCTGTCCCTTGTCTAACACCAGGTATTTACCCCTTACCCCCACATATACATTCGGGGTCTATTGTTCCTGCTTCCTTCTGCCTAGAAGAATCTTCCCCAGTGGCCCACTCCCTCGTCTCTTCATCTTTGTTAAAATTTCACCTTCTTGATCAGCATTCTGTGATTATGTTATTTAAAATGAAAGATAACAAAACCATTCTTTATCTTCCTTTTCTGCTTTGTTTTCCTCCCAAATGTTTAATGTTCATTATCTTCTGACACTCTTTTTTTGTTGTTGTTTTTGTTATGTGCATGTCTGTTCCCACATTAGAAAATAAACTGTATCTGTGCGTGACTTCCTTTCTGTTTAGTTCCTTGATATATTTCTGGCACCTAGAAGAGTTTATGGGACATAATATGTGCTCAACAAATATTTATTGAAAGAAAAAATGAACTAGAAAACACTGTACGGGCTGAACTTTGAGATTCAGTTTGATAAATGAAGATGACCTTAAGCCTTTCAAATGCCAAATAGATGTATAAGATTCCTTTTTAATATATACAAAATATGTGCATAATAATTCTTAGACATTCACAAAGCAGTCTCACTGATCCTCACAATAGTCATGTGACTAGGAATTGCTGTTATGCCCAGTTTACAGATAGGGAAACTGTGTTTCAGAGAAGCCAAAATCTTGGCCTCTTAAAGTAAGTGGCAAATGTTTTAGGAATTGGTCTCCTAATTTCAAGTGTAGGTCCCATAGGCCAATCATAACAGTGGACACAGGTAATGTTGATTAAAAATGAATTATAAGGGAATTCTCTGGTGGTCCAGTGGTTAAGACTCTGTGCTTCCAATGCAGTGGTCGGATATCTAGATCCCACAGGCCATGGCACACACCCCCCCCCCAAAAAATTGTAAAATAAAATGCTAAATACCTAAAGAATACTCTAGAAATAAATCACACTTCCTAGGTCTAATGGAGATAAAGGCATAAAGATATAGGAAAGACTGGGAGGTCCTGGTTTGCATATAGACAGGGTGTATGTGTGTGGGAGAGGTTGAAATAAAAAGGAAAAACACTCTGGAGAAACTTCAAGAAGGTAAAACAATGCAAGTTGGAATAATCAGAGAGGCGATTAGATTTGAGATTGGCTTTGCAGGACAGACAGGATTTAGATGGTAGAGGAACTGGGGCTTAACAGAAACAGAATGGAGAAGGACTATATGGTACATTTCAGGAAATAACTGTATCTTTCTAGGCCTGATATTAGTCATGTCTTCACTACATCAATAACAATTCTAATTTCATATTCACTGTTAATTGATGTAGTAAAGAAATGAACTAATATTAAACTCCATAAATATTCTGCATATTTCTAGTGACCTTTTTGAGGCTACAGGGAAGGCAATCACTGGCTTTTGTCTACAGTTTTGGCTTAACTCTCCTTTGTTCCTGACCTCATAAGTTCAGCCCCAATTTTGTGCTTTCTATTCCCAGAAGCCCAAGGCCTCCTGTCCTTTAATGGGAAAAGATTGAATAATATCTAGAAAAACAGTAAAGATGTTGGGTTTTACCATCTTAATATCTGATAGTCTGTAGCATGCTTGGGACTTATATTTCCACACTGATTCTTGAGAATGCCTAATTAGCTCTGAAATACGGGCCTAAACACCGGGAGATTGTGCTTCCCCCTTGGAGAAAAATGCCATCCTTCAGGTCTCAAAGATTACCTTTTCATTTAGAGTTTCTCCCTTATTACAAGGGGAAAAAAGGTAAAGAGGAAACAGAGTGAGATGAAATGTGGAACTGACTCAGAAAAGAAACTGATACTCTAAATTCTTTTTCCCAATTAAAAAATTTGACGATGTAAAAATAATAGTAAACAGAAATGTCATTCCCAAAAGGGGTGAAACATTAAAACTTAAGAATGCAGTAGGATCAAATTACATGAAAAATCTAAAGGGGACACTACCTGCTTGTTTTCCTTTAATTCATTTTTTGGGGTGATATTTATAAAGCATGGTGAGGGTCAGGGCATGGAATGGCAAGTGTACGACTGCTGAAAAATGATGTAAGGTAAGTTAACGTTCAGTTAAAGAGCATTTGAAATTTGCTAGCCACTAACTTTAAGATTGATCCTCAGAGTAAAGCTGAGCTGGACAGTAAGTGAAATAAGCACAATAAAATTCTTTTTGGGTGATGGCTGTAACATGTACAACTTGTTATCAAGATCATCTTATTTGAAATGCCACAAACCCAAAATCTAATTTGTTGCACAAATTAAGCAGCATTTACTAAAGGCTTCAGATTAATATTGCTTTTGTCTACCTCTAAAGCTGTTTAAACTAAGTGCCAGTTCTCTTTGGAAAGCGTGGATGGCTCTGAAAAGAGCCTTTGGATATGATGGAACCTGATCAACTGCTTTGCAGCCAGTGGCTCACTTGGAGCTGGTGTACTTGGTGACAGCCTTGGTGCCCTCAGACACGGCGTGCTTGGCCAGCTCGCCGGGCAGCAGCAAGCGCACGGCCGTCTGGATCTCCCTGGAGGTGATAGTCGAGCGCTTGTTGTAATGCGCCAGGCGCGACGCCTCGCCCGCGATGCGCTCGAAGATGTCGTTAACGAACGAGTTCATGATGCCCATGGCCTTGGACGAGATGCCGGTGTCCGGGTGGACCTGCTTCAGCACTTTGTACACGTATACGGAGTAGCTCTCCTTGCGGCTGCGCTTGCGCTTCTTGCCGTCTTTCTTCTGAGCCTTGGTCACCGCCTTCTTGGAGCCTTTCTTCGGGGCAGGAGCGGACTTGGCAAGCTCAGGCATGGTGAAGTGGCGTTAACAAAATCCTCGAGAAACAAAGAGTGAGCAATGGGCGAGGCGAGTCCGTTTCACTTACAACTGTATATTCAAATGACACTTAGTAAAGTTCTATGTCTGATTGGCGAACACTGCTAATGACGTCATTACAACTTTGTCCAATCAGAACGCGCATTTAAAGGACCGACACGTCTCTTTTAAAACGGAATTACTACTTTACCCAATGGAATAGCTTCTTTTTCGCGCCCAGCTGCAGCTATAAAATGTGCGATTTTCTTCTTTCACCTTAGTTGCTTCTGGTGTAGGCTTTAAAATACTGCATTATGTCTGGACGTGGCAAGCAAGGCGGCAAAGTTCGCGCCAAGGCTAAGACTCGCTCTTCTCGCGCCGGGCTCCAGTTTCCCGTGGGCCGAGTGCACCGCCTGCTCCGCAAGGGCAATTACGCTGAGCGGGTCGGGGCCGGCGCACCGGTGTACTTGGCGGCGGTGTTGGAGTACCTGACGGCCGAGATCCTGGAGCTGGCGGGCAACGCGGCCCGCGACAACAAGAAGACGCGCATCATCCCGCGCCACCTGCAGCTGGCCATCCGCAACGACGAGGAGCTCAACAAGCTGCTGGGCAAAGTCACCATCGCTCAGGGCGGCGTCCTGCCCAACATCCAGGCGGTGCTGCTGCCCAAGAAGACCGAGAGCCACCACAAGGCCAAGGGCAAGTAAGGCCTCAAGAGCAACGCCTTCGAAACCAAAGGCTCTTTTCAGAGCCACCTACTTTTTCTGCGGAGGAGCTGGGACAGTAGTTTCATTTAATTCCATTGTCATTATTGCCTGGGGAAAAGAAGTTACTTCATGTAATTAATTTGGCAAGCAGTTTGAGCCACTTTTCGGACTCCTAGTCATGTCCTCGGAATGTCAGGAAGATATCAAGAGCTTTGGTAAGGAAGTGAGTGCAGTGTCAAGATGCAAAATGAAAGTATCTTTAAGGGCCCCTGAGGACAATGAAAACACTTTCTCGGCTTATTTGCAGTATATAACTCGACCTCTGCCAGTGCTAAAGTTATGCTCTGTGCCTTGATTCCTGCAATATCAAATTAAAAATAGATGTGTGTGCAGTGAATTAGGTGGCGCATAAACCGGAATAAAAACGTCTACCATTTGAACAGAAACAGTTGACCTATCTGAACGTGACGCGGGCTTTTTAACTTTAAAAAGTTCTTTGTAGCTAAACACCCAGGAACCAAAATGTCTTAAAATGGTCAACTCACATTTAACATGTTTGTGGACAATTTTGCAGGTTCCTGGATGCAGGTCAAATTTTCTAACTTTGTTGTGTTTTAAGAAGAGTATGTTTTTCGCTTTGAGTTCCAAACAGGAGCAAAGGTGAAAACGTTTAGTGGAAGTAGAGGGCAAGCAATTTTTTCTTGGCGGGCGGCTGAGAATAATGTTACTCAGTGCACAGCTGTTTTCAGAGATCTCTAGGTGGCTCTGAAAAGAGCCTTTGGGGTTTGCGTCTTAAGCGCCAACTTCCTACTTCTTTTTGGGAGCCGCCTTCTTTGCCTTTGCAGCTTTGGGTTTTGCTGCCTTAGGCTTGGCAGCTTTGGGTTTCGCCGCTTTTGGCTTCACTGCCTTAGGCTTAGCGGGGCTTTTGGCAGCCTTCTTCGGCTTTGCCGCGGCTTTGGTTTTCTTGGGACTCTTGGCCACCTTTTTGACGCCAGCGGCTGCGGGCTTCTTCGCCTTCTTGGGAGTCTTCTTCACTGCTTTCTTTGCTCCCGCTGCCTTCTTGGGCTTCTTAGGGGTGGCCCCTGCGGGTTTTTTCGCTTTAGCAGCCCCCGCCTTCTTGGCCTTCGGCTTGGCTTCCCCGGTGGGCGCCTTCCTATTGAGCTTAAAGGAACCGGAAGCACCCGTGCCCTTGGTCTGCACAAGGGTACCCTTGCTCACCAGGCTCTTGAGACCCAGCTTGATTCGACTGTTGTTCTTCTCCACGTCGTAGCCGCCAGCTGCCAGGGTCTTCTTGAGCGCTGCCAAAGAAAGGCCATTGCGCTCTTTGGAGGCGGCCACAGCCTTAGTGATCAGCTCAGAAACTGGGGGCCCGGTCGCCTTGCGCTTAGCCGCGCCACCGCTCGCGGACTTCTTAGTAGACTTCTTCTTGGCAGGAGATTTCTCCACCGGCGCCGGGGCAGCCGTCTCAGCAGGAGCGGTTTCCGACATGGCGACGGAAGAAACTGCTAGAAGAAGAGAGATTCAAAACCCAAAGAGCAAGTTTTGCAATGCTACCTTGCTCGGGCCCGGGGCTTATATAAGCCGGTGCTGCCCTGTGATTGGTGGAGCGTCCGATCCACCGCCCTCAGGCAGCCGGCTCTCGTGGTTGGACTCCCAAATTGTGTTTGTTAGTCCCAAAATTTGATTAAATGCTAAAAACAGTGGTACAGAATTTGACTCTTTGAAGCTCCAAAGGAGGAAAACAGCCTCCATGTTCACATACTTGTTTGTGTTTTTATGAATCACGCGCAATTAATGAAAGATATTTTAAAAAATCCCTTCAGCTTTTCATATGTGTCCATCAGGCGTGAGGCATCGAGCTAGTTAGTTGCATTGTTGCAATAAATTTTTACTAAGTACCAAGTGAACGTTTTTTAAAAGGTTTTGTCCCTAAGTTCGGCCTTTGATTTTTGCAAGAGGAAAGACACTAGGTTCCGTGGTTTTGCCATAAACTTTGTTTCAAACTGCGGCAAGTAACACAGGCGCAGGACAGCTGGTTGCCTACAGCCCCAAATTAACCATATAGATCTTACTTTAAAAACCGGTTCTGCCTCCCAAGGAGTTTCCACGTGCCACTGTCTTTAGAGAATGGGATTTTGCCGCTAGGAAAAGTTCTGTTGCCAAAGTGACTTCTTCCAGGAGGAATAGAAATAGCTTTGGCTACAGGATCCAATGACCTTCATTCAAACAAATTTGGTTTGTTTTTGATTGAGATGCTTTCTCTCTTTAATTCCTAAGCGAATCCAATAAAATAAGAACAAAGAAAAATGCTTAACCCCGATAATGTATTTTAGAAAAAACCCCTGAAACCTGCTAAAAATTATTCAAGGGCTTCCAGTAGCCCTCGAAAGCGCAAACTGTTTAGATGGCATGGGACTTTGTCCCTCTTTCACGGTGCTTTTCCCAATGCTCTCAAACTCCTTACCTCCATCAACATTTAACAAATTACACGGTCAAAACACCCTCTTTTGTAGGACATCAGTGTGGATATTTTTGTGTGTTTAAGTGAAGATAGACCTGTATCTTCCAGTGAAATAATTGGCCACTGACTATAAGTGTGGCCTGGCTCTTAAGGGACTGGAGGTTATAGAAGTTTAAGAGAATTCAGGAAAACATTAACATCCAAGGGAACTGAGGCAATAACCAGGAAGTGGAATGGAGGATGAAGTTTGCTATTTATTGGGAGGTGGGAGGGGGAGGCATGGACAGGATTTTGTGCCTGGATGGGGTGATGATTAGGATCTCTCATGCAATCAACAGTTCTCCCCTGTGAAAAACTGTAGGCCAATACACTTCATCTCTTCAGGAGCTCCTGGAGTTGAAACTATAGCCTACTATGGCCAAATCTAGACAGTGGCCTATTTTTGTATGGCCGTCGAGCTGAGTTTTTCTATTTTTAAATTGTATTTTTAAAAAACTGTGACAGACTATATGTTGCCTGCAAAACCTAAAATATTTACTATTTGGCTCTTTTGCTGTTTTGTATTCCTTCTCACAGACACAGTTCATGGTGTGTTGCTAGAGGCCTGCCTTTCAGAACTATGCAAATCGAGATCTAAAAAGGAGATCTTAACAAGAAAATGTTCCAACCAAGTATTTTCCACTTTTTCAATCACAAAACTTTCAGAAAATTTGGGAAGAGGTTCGGGGAAGTCATGCTTTACAGGAGAGAAGCATAGTAAAGAGAGCTAACATTCATTGAGCATTTAACTGCCAGGAACGAATCTAAGCATGACCTACAAACCAATTCGTCTGCTACATTTTACAGCTGTTCTAGGTGAGTCCCAGAGAGATGAGTAATTTGGCAAAGATTATACAGCTAGTAGTAAATGGCAGCTGTGAGGCTTGAACCTCGACCAGTATTTCTTTCTGCAACAGGAAGGCAAGAGGCACATTTTCTGAAGTCAAGGAGCTAGGGTACCGGGCAAAAACAAACAAAAAAACCCTTCATTTGCCATTTACACAATTATCCACAGAAACCAATAAGCTTTCGCAAGGTATGGGCCAGTTTTTCTTCAGTCCCTTCGTGTAGCCAAAGGCTTAATGGTTGTATCACTTTAAGTATGCTTCCCCAGAAACAGCTCAATAGGCTGACTAGGATCACAGAATACAGTAACCTCCGTCTGCAGCTTAATCTCTAAATATGCAGCACTGAAGTGACACAGCAACAATTGAGCCCACAACAGCTATTTCATCAAAACTCTCCTGTCATTTTTCTTTTGGGGATAACATGTATCCTCTAGAATGAACAGTTCCTTTTTGGTGACAGTTGAGGGGCTCTGAAAAGAGCCTTTTCGGATGAGGTATGTATAATAGGAAGCGGTATAAGATTTAAGCCCTTTCCCCGCGGATGCGACGGGCGAGCTGGATGTCCTTGGGCATGATGGTGACGCGCTTAGCATGGATAGCACACAAGTTGGTGTCCTCGAAGAGCCCCACCAGGTAGGCCTCGCACGCCTCCTGCAGCGCCATCACGGCCGAGCTCTGGAAGCGCAGGTCGGTCTTGAAGTCCTGCGCGATCTCGCGCACCAGGCGCTGGAACGGCAGCTTGCGGATCAGCAGCTCCGTGGACTTCTGGTAGCGGCGGATCTCGCGCAGGGCCACCGTGCCAGGCCGGTAGCGGTGCGGCTTCTTCACGCCGCCCGTGGCCGGCGCGCTCTTGCGAGCCGCCTTAGTGGCCAGCTGCTTGCGCGGCGCCTTACCGCCTGTGGACTTGCGAGCGGTCTGCTTCGTGCGAGCCATGCACAAGCAGCGCCAATTACTTTAACAGTAGTAACAGGACCCAGTCGTCCCAATATATATAGGGACCCTCGCGTCTTGATTGGACAATAGACTGCTGCCTCCCTCGCCTGCCCCGCCCTGCCCCGCCCACAGAATTGGTTCTAGGCTTATTCCTCAAAGAAAAGGAAGCGTTTTCCCGCTTCTACTTCGGTCATTAGGATAATGTACAGAGGAGGTATCTTATTGGCTTTAAAAGACTGCGAGATGGGCTTCCCTGGTGGCGCAGTGGTTGGGGGTCCGCCTGCCGATGCGGGGGGCGCGGGTTCGTGCCCCGGTCCGGGAGGGTCCCGCGGGCCGTGGCCGCTGGGCCTGCGCTTCCTGAGCCTGTGCTCCGCGGTGGGAGAGGCCGCGGCGTTGAGAGGCCCGCGTACCGCCAAAAAAAAAAAAAAAAAAAGATTGCAGGATGCATCAAAATTCTTAAGGTGCTATCTAGAGAATCTCAAAGTGCCTTGCACTATTTTAAATACAGTACAAGATGTCATGATTGGGTTCTTGACAAAAATAGTTTACTGAATAACATAAAAGGGAACCAACCAGCTTATGATAAACGGAGGCATTGAAAGTCGAAATCCAGCCATGTTCTATACCAGTGGTCTCAAACTTCAGCGTGCTTAAGAACCTCTCAGCTTATTAAAACGAGGGTCGGCCAACTTTTTCTGCAAAAAAGGTATGATAGTATTTTAGGCATTACTCGCCATACTGTATCATTACTTTGCCCTTGACGTGGGAGTGCGAGCGCAGTCGACATAGGTTAGATGAGCCCGAGCTTACACTAAACCTCTGTAAAAACTGGCAACGCAGCTGAGTTATCAGAGAATTTGCCACTGTAGGTGGAAAGGCTGACGAGGGCTTGGGGACTGTGACAACACGCAACTTAAGCTCAACTTCAAATTTTTAGCCCCCCCCAACTACTCCAAAATACTTAAAATGCACATTAATGCCTACAGCTCTTTAACAGATTTCGTGGGTGGCCCTAAAAAGGGCCTTTAAGCGACGTTATGATGCCTTTGGAACTCTAACCGCCAAAGCCATACAGAGTGCGTCCCTGGCGCTTGAGCGCGTAGACCACGTCCATAGCAGTGACAGTCTTGCGCTTGGCGTGCTCAGTGTACGTAACGGCATCCCGGATCACGTTCTCCAGAAACACCTTTAGCACCCCACGGGTCTCCTCATAGATGAGGCCGGAGATGCGCTTCACCCCACCACGCCGAGCTAGGCGTCGGATGGCCGGCTTGGTAATGCCCTGGATGTTATCACGCAGAACCTTGCGGTGGCGCTTAGCACCTCCTTTCCCCAGGCCCTTCCCACCCTTACCACGACCAGACATCTCACCAATTCTAATCGAACACGATGCTCCAATTCGCAAAGGCGGTGTTCTATATAGTGGTATATCGGACCTGGTTGGGAACCGCTCAAGCCAGCTGCGTCTCTTCAGGGAGGTTCCAGACCCGAAGCCCCGCCCACGTTTTCAGCAAACTGGAAAGGGCGGTGCTTAAACTACTTGGTCAGAACCGGCGCCTAATGAAAATCCCTCAGCCTAATTTCTACATCGTGTTGCGCTCGCCCGCCCCTGGAAGAGCTTTCTTTTGGTTTGGTCAGGCCTTGCTGTCCGTTTTGTTTTGTTTTGTTTTGTTTTCTGCCATCTCTTAGCGACTTGTGGCTGCTGGAATGAATGGCGCATCTCAAGAGCGATGATTGTAGGCATTTGGGAGCTTTTGTGAAACCTCGTGGCTGGCCGCCTGATTATAGATAGCTTCCAGGTGGGGTTTTTTGTCGTTCTTAGCGTCGGTGCTCTCCCCTTTTCCTTACTCATCCTATCACCTTACTTTCCCTTCCCTCACTGGCTGCCACATTTTGCGGGGTAGTACTGGCTTTTTCAAATTTTCTTCATCTCACTTAGAAACACTTCAGGAAGCTGTTTAAGGAAGGTAATCTTTTACCTGTAGTTTCCTTTGGTGAGTCCATGAACAAGTAAAAATGCCTCTCAGGGATTACCACCCTGCCCCCTCCCCCCCTCGTTTCTCTCCTTTGTTGAACTGAGAAATCAAGTGCACCCAAAAACTCCATGCCTTTAATTTACAAATACAGTTGCCTTGCCAATGCTTTGCCCTGGAAATATTTATATTCACATCTATGTGTCCCAAAGGTGTGATTCTCTTTGTTAAAATAATTTGTTAAGTCTCTTCTCCGACCTTCATGGAGGAAACAAACTGCAGATTTCTCAGCTTAAAAAGTTTGAGTCTTTTAATAACCTATAATGGAAAAGAATCTGAAAAAGATAGATATCTGTATGTACATAGATATATAGGTATATTTGAATCACCTTGTTGTACACCTGAAACTTACATAAAATTGTAAATCAAA